CTACTGCAGCTGCCGGCAGCATCCGGGAGGCAGGAGTCGTGCCCGGCCAGCTGCGGACAGCAGGGAGAAGCCTCCCAGCTCCCTGAGCAGGGGCAGGACGGCCAGGCATGGGGGCTTCGGGCTCATCCAGGAGGGTCCGGGACGACACTTAAGTTCTGAAATCGCTTACCTGGGGGGTCAGCGGGAAGCTTGTGTGGCCCTTGAGAGCTCATTTTGTTGTTAAATGTGTTTTCGGGGAGTCTAGCTAGGCACGTGAGGGTTAAGGCACTGGATCTCATATGTCCGACTTTGCAGTTTGCGTCCTGAACCCGGTGGCTTGAAAATCATGAGGGGAGTGTGCATGTGTGCCCCAAACCCTGAACAGAGAGGGGCCAGCGGCCGTGACATGGCCCCCCCCGCGGTGGTTTTTCACCCTGTCTCCCTGCCCCACCTCTCTCATGGCACGCAAATGCCCTATGGAAAAACTAAACTGCCACGCACACATGAAAACACAGCAGCATAATGAGCCCTGTGTTCCTGAGACCCCACTCCAAAACCATCAGCCAGTGGCCGGTTCAGGAGGGTTTGCTTTCAGAACGACAAGGTGGCTTGAAAACTCTCCTGAGGGGGCTCTGCACCTCACCTGCCCTGTGAGTGGTGCTGGCTCTGCCCCTGGGCACTGCCCTGCCAGAGCACCTGTGCCCAGATGCAAACGGGGTGCTCAGATCTGGCAGGAAAAGGCATTTAGGGTGCAGCCAGGTGGCTCCCACAGGACACAGGTCCCGGAGGCACCCGCTCACTGCCTTTCCCAATTGCCAGAGCAATCGGGGGCTTTTCAAGATGCTGCTGTTCACCTGGGTGCCCATGGGACTGGAAGCCAGCTCTCAGGGGTCACAATGGTGTAGGAAAGCCACCTGCCCAGGGGACAAGGGGACCAGAACCCCCGAGCTCCTGGCACTGCTCCAACTCCCCACCCTGCACACACAGGCTCCGACCGAGGGCTGCTTGAAGCCCCTGGGCCACGGACACTGCTTACCTTCACTTCGGCCTCGGGGGCTGGGAGGGCGCCCGCCCGGGGGAGCAGCAGCAGCACCGCCGTGACGGCCAGGGCACCCAGGGCTGCGAGGATGGCGGCGAGCCTGGCCAGGGACATAGGTGAGCGCTCAGCAGGCCGGAAGTCCAGACACGCGCCCGCCCCACCAGCGCCGCTCCGGATGGGCAGTGGCGGGGTACGACCCGCCTGCTCCCGGGGAGGGAGGCCTGTCATTTAACTTCGTTCGGCTTCTGCACAAATCAGTCAGGAAACCGGAGGGGCCCTCCCGCCCGCGGTCTGGCGGACTCCACTCTCTGCATGCCGACAGGGCCTCGCTGGGGACAGTGCGTGTTCTTAGAGGCACCATGGCCTAGCCTGGTGAGGTCAGCAGTTGCCCCAGGGGGCTGGCCCGGTCAGGGTCCTCAGGACCAGGCCACGCGTGTACAATGGTTGTGCTGCTAATGGACTCATGAACTGCGGGAGGGCAGACTGGTCACCTGAGCCCACAGCAGGCCAGCGGTGGCAGGTCCCACACCACCTCTGTCCCCAAGAGGGGAATGTGGGGCGGGGGCAGGGGCCTCAGTCAGACTGGGGGGAGGACGGCCTGGTCTCTGCACTGGATCCGCTCTGGGGCTCACCTGGCCACCCCCGAGGCTCCGGCCAGCAGCGTGCAGAGGAGCAGCACGAACACCCACAGCAGCGCCAGGACGAATACGCCGGTGCCCACGCCTAGCACCGTGTCCGCCATCCCGCCGCTCTGGCCTGCGGTGGCGGAGTGGGGCCTGAGCGCGACACGGACGTGCCCACTGGCGTGCTGAAAGGGCCGGTGCACACGGCCCCGCGTCCCTGGATGGGAACCCGCAGTTAGAATCTGTGGCCTTGCTGGGGGACAGGCCACTGCCCTCCGTGCCACCTCCTGAGAGAGGGCCCGGCGTGCAGCAGTCGGGACCCCCCTTGTATAGCTCCCGGGACGTGGGGCCGGGGCTGGGGACGGGCCTGGAGGCCCAGGTCAAGGAGAAGCTGGGGTCCGTGGGCAAACTGGGTCAGAGGCGACTCCCCGGGGTCTCCACGGCGCTACCCACTCTGCCGGCCAGTCCTTGATTCTGAAGGGAGCCGCGTCCTTAGAGAGGAGGAGCCATCGTCACAGGGCGGACACGCCATGGGGGGCGTCCTTCCCTGCCCACGTCACTGGGCGCAGCGGCGACCTCGGGAGGGCGTGTGTCCGGGTCGCTGCAGATACACGTGAAGCCCAGGTACGGGGGGCACACCCGTGTCCTGTTCCATGTTCACATACCCCTCGAGGCCAGGTGGTACCTACAGGGTCACCCTCTGGAGGTTCTCAAGGGCTCTCCCGCCCTCCCAGGCCCCAGTGCGCGCGCTCTCGGCTGGCGGCTGATGGCATAAGGCCTGCCTTGTCCTCCCCACGTCCCCGCCTTCTTCCCTGCTGCTGACCAGTGAGGCCACCTGCCGCCAGATCAGGGACTGGCCCGATGGCACCATCTTACTCAGGAGTCTTGACTTGGTCACATCGCAAAGACCCTCTGAGTATGGATGTGGTGCACGTTTGGGCGCCGTGGCTCAACCCTGCAGATGTAGCACAGTCCCCTTCCGTACCCGAGCTGGCTCAACGCTGTCTACACCGACGGCCCGTCCCCTTCCGTACCCGAGCTGGCTCAACGCCCTACACCGACGGCTGAATGCCACGATACTGGTCCTGGAGGACGTTCTGCTGTGGGGCCCTAGCACGAGTGGCAGCCAGCACTGAGCTCTGGCCAGGGATGGGCCTCATTTGGTCCTTGACAGACCTCGCCCGGTCCAGTGTGCTGGGCCCGTGGCTGCGAGGAGCTGTGGGAGTAGTGTGTGCAGGCACGTGGGAGAGGAGCCCATGACAGGGAGGGGGCTGGGCCACGGCCATGCCACCTCACGGGGAACACCCCCCGGGTGCACGAGAACGGTCTGTAACCCCAACGTGTTTCCCAGACTGGGGGCCTTTGCCCCTGATATTGCACGGCCTGAAATCAGCCCCCAGCCCCAACAAGCCTCTGCTACTTGCAGGGCCGGCCTCTCCACACCCTCCCAATCTCAGCTTAAAGGTCACTTCCTCAGAGAAGTCCTCCCTGACTGCCCTGTCGACAGCAAGCTCCCAGTCTCTCTTCCTCACGCTCTTTCCTTCAGGGCACTTCTCACAGGTTGTACTTAACGTTTTGATGGATTTGTTTACAATTTTATTCCCTGTCCCACTGAAATAGTCCGTTTCACAAGGACGGCCTTTCTGTGTCTCTCACCACCGCACCCCATTCTCAGTACAGAGATCACGCACTGTCATCCACAGGATGAGGCGTGAGTCTGTGCTCACAGTCCACCACGCCAGTGGGGCCAGAGACGGCTCCCACCCAGCGGGCACGTGGGTGACAGCGCAGGAGCACAGCAGCAGTATGGGCCACCCTGGAGCGCAGAAAACCACACCTGCTCTGAGCCCAAGCAGGGCTGGTCCAGGGCGCGCCTACCGGGAACTGTGGGTGAGGTCTGCTCAGAGAGGGGCCTCGGGCGCGCGGTGCGGAGCCCTGGGGCCTCGAACTCTGATCCGAGATGCCTCTGCCTGCCCAGTGACCGCCTTGGGCCTGGAGGAAAGCGGCAGGAGAACTCGACTCTGCGCCTTGGGGCCTCCACCACCTGCGTGGGGGCAAGACTGCAGCTGAGGGCGGGCGGCCCACGGCCTCTCCTGGGCCGTCCTGGCTGTGGGCCGGCTGCCCCCGAGCGGGCACCGCTGAGCTGAGAGCCCCGAGCTGCTGTCCACACGCCTCCGTGAAGCCCGGGGAGGAAGACGGCCAGGCGGGGGCGTGAACATGAAGGGGTGGTGAGAAGACACTGTCACAGTAAAGGCTTCCGGGACCGGCAGCTGGCATGGCAGTTAAGGTACGGCACTCCCGCATGGCTCACCACGGTTCGAGCCCCGAACCTGTGATTTGAAAACCACACTGGGTGTGCAAGCGTGTGTGCCCAGTCTTGGGAGGGGAATGAGGGAGGCCACTGTGGAGCGGCCATCTTCCCTGGGCAATTTCCCACTCTCTCTCTCTCTGCAGCGAGCACATGTGCCCTGGCAATACCTAAAACAAAATGGAACACAGTAAAGATTTCTGGGCCTGAAGGTGGCATGGAAGTAAAGGTAGGGGTCCCACATGGCCAAATGTGTGCTTCGTGTCCTGGACACAGCAGCTTAAAAACATGCTAGGTGCCTTGTCTCCACAAAAGGCGAGAGAAGAACGGAGAAGAAGGGGTTGTGGGGTGCCCATGCCCTGGGAGGTGCTTTCTTTCTCCCTCCCCAGCCCACCTCTCCCAGAGAGCACGAGTACCCTGCAGCAGAAACTACGAAAGAAGTAAGAGACTCCTGCAATGCTGCTGCTGGTGGACTCGTGTTCTGACGTTATATTTGGGTTAGGAGGCGCTGAGACAATGCGGGCAGCGCTGCGGGAGGCAGTGCGAGCTAAGACACCCACAGCTGCTGTCTGCTCAGGGGGAGGGCGTGGCCACGGCAGAGTGGGCAGTGAGGGCTCGCCCCCCGGCAAGGGCCATACTGGGCACGCATGCGCACACGTCAGGCATGACTTTCAAGCTGCCAAGTCTGGGATTCGAACCACGGTCGGCCACGTGGGCGTCCAGCATATTAATCACCATGCTACCTGCTGGCCACATTGGCTAATTATTAAGGATGCATATTAAGGGGCCAACAGGTGGCGTGGTGGTTGAGGCAGCTGGACTCCCACATGGCTGACCACAGTCTGAGTCCTGGACCTGGCAGCCTTCTCACTTTCCTTCTCAAACATAAAATGAAAACAATGACAATGAATAAAGTTTAATAAAATAATTTTTAAAAAGTATGCATGTTTAAAAAATAACTTACAGGTAAATACCAAGTAATAGTAATAGAACAAATAATCCATGCTAGAATGAAAAACAAAAGAAGGAAGACAGAAGGTGTGGGAGGCAAAGAGAGAGCGCGGAGAGCAGAGAGGCCGAGTGGGACTAACAGGAGCCCAGCACCACAGCCGCAGTAAATGCAAACAGCTCACACCGACAGGTTTTCAGCAACCCTCAGATGCACGCGGCAGGGAGGCTGAAGCAGGCCCGCAGGCCCACAGAGCAAGGCCCGAGGAGGGTGCGGGGAGGCCCACGGTGCAGGCTCACCTTGGCAGCACAGAAAGCTCCGGAGGCCGTGGGAGTGCACTGCCCTCCTCGGCAGGAAGCAATGCCCAGCCATGGGCTCGAATCCCTGGGCTGGCCTGGAAACATGCCGGGTGCCTCGGGGCACCAAGATCCTGAGAGCTGGAGGGCTGAAGAAAGGAGGCCACAGCACGACCAGGCCCTGTCAAGGATGCTTTTCTGTCTCTCTCTGCTCCTCTCATTAAAAAAGTTCTGGAGATGGGATTCACGACAATGTGAATATACTTCTTTAAAAATTATTATTTTTAAAAATTTGCTATAGGGCACATGTGTTCACCAGAGAGAGAGATAGAAACAAAGTGAAGAAGCAAGCCGCTAGGTCCAGGACTTGAACCGCGGTCAGCCATGTGGGAGTCCAGCGCCTTAACCACCATGCCACCTGCCATCCCAGTGTGAATGAATATCCTTACCGCCATGGAACTGTACCCCTAGAACTGGCTAAGACTGTAAATGTTGTTATGCATTATTTATAGTTTTCTAAAAGTAAAACAAAAAATATAAACAGAAGCAATATTAGTATCAAACAAAATAAAGCACTGAAAAATATTAACAACAGTCACAAAAGGAATAATTTAGCAACAAGATACAACTCAGAACAAATAGGGACCTAACAACAAAGCCTCAAGACGCACAAAGCTGAACCGACAGCATGACGGTAGCCAGGCCGGCCCCAACTCAGTGGGCGCGGGGCACAGCTGCCGGAGAAATGGCTGCGTGGGCCCCGGCGGGGACAGCCGCGTGGCCGCGTGGCAGTACGGCGTGAAGAGGGCTCCACTGTCTCATCAGGAAAGTCCAGGTCACCCCATCCAGTGTCTCTAAGACCCCTACTGGTCACGTGGGGATGGCTGCACAGGTGGGCGAGGACGCTGCCGGGCTGGGCTCCAAGTGCCCGCTGCTGGGGGGGGGCCCTGGCGGAGGCTACTGTGGCACTGGGCCCACCTCTGCCGTGCAGCCGCTCACCGGGGGACACAAAGCAGACCTGCCTGCAACCGCTGAGAACCGACACAGCCGAGCCCAGTGGGGCGCCAGCGGGTAAGGAGGTGTTAGACCCCAGGCAGTTCCAGGACGGAGCAGAGCAAAGCAACCAGCCTCCAACAGAGTGGGGGACGCCAGAGACAAAAGCCCATTCCGTCTACATGGTGCTCGAACTGGGGGGGCCGAGCCAGGGGCCAGTCCCTCACTGCACCGTGGCTGAGGCGGGATGGTCGCGAGCTCATAGCACAGGTTCACGCAGGAGGCCACACAGAAGGAGGTGGGAGAGGCAGCGGGAGGATCGCGACATAGACCCCTTCTGAAAGAGAGAAGGGTCACCCTGCACATATCTGACCCCACCGAGAAAGAGACTGACGGAATTCAGGCGTGAGCTTACACCGCATGCCCGCATGGCCCCTGCCAACACATGTTTCCTGTGCACCTGAAGCCTCCTCTCCTGCACCACACACACGTAGCCCCGTGTGAACACAGGACACGGTGTGTTGTCTGGGGACAGGATGCAAAGTGCCCACGAGCACAGACACTGGCCGAGGCAGGGGCTGCCACAGGGATGGGTGTGGGGACACGGAGGCCACCATTCCTACGGCTCCAGTCCAGATGGCGTGTGCGTGTGATGTAAGTGCGCGCAACTGACTAACAGATGTGCGGGCTGCCTGCACTCAGGCTGCAAAACCGAGCCACACGGGGCCAGCAGGAACCACCCGAGCAGAGGTGCCGGTGGACTCGTGTCCCGGATGGGAGTCCAATGGCGAGAGCCCCATTTTCCCTCGTCTGTGAGTTCATTGCAATTCTAACCAAAAGCTAGAAGCGACTATTTGTGAAACTTGAAGACAGACCGAACATTCAGATGGAAGAGCAAAAACCCAAGAATAGCCAAACAATTTTGAGAACTAGGATGGCAACTTGCCTGTCTTGCTACCAACTGCTACAAGACATGCTATAAACCGAGGGGATTGAAATGGAGTGACGGTGGCGCAGGGACACGTAGCTGCAGCACAGGCAGGAGCCCAGAGTCGGGTCGGCGCATTCGTGAAGACCTCTCCAGGACAGGGTGGTTTCAGGACTCAGAGGTAAAGGGTGTCACAGGTGACATGGGGACGAGCATGGTCCCGTCAGAAACGGCACTGCTGACCTGGTTTACGACACACACAGAGGCCCGTGTTAAACGGAATGTAACCCAGTGAGGCAGCAGATGTCTGGGCACGCAAACACTCAGGCTGACTGCGCCGGGACATGGAAGGAAGCGTGTCAGATGCTCCCACCTAAACTTAGCATTGCAGGCGGCACGTGCACCCATGCAGGTGGGTCCGTCAGCCACGCAAATGGCACGAGCTGTGGTCTCGGTCTGTGATGCACAACCCGTTCAGTTGCGAACCACTGAGGAGCGTGGTTTCCCCTTGATTCCCATTTAACTGCATTCCTGGAAAGCACACCGCATCTGTTTATGGAAAGTGGAGCAGGTGACCTGATGCACGGCAGCCTGCGGGTCCCTCAGAAAGCGTGCGGGATGTGGGACGACCCCGCCCCCCACCACAGGACACCTGGCGTCCTTCGCAGACCTGCCCTGTGCTCCCCCAGCACCCTCCGGCCCCGGCAGTCAGACGCACCGTGATTCCCAGTGCCCCGAGTGCGGTGCCACCCTGAGGGCCGCTGTCCAGGGGACCCGTGTAGACGGTCGCTGCGGCCTCCCTCTAACAGCCACACATCAGCAAAGTGGCGGGGGG